AGGGGGGAAAGAGAAATTGAAATTAGGAGGGGGGAAGAGATATTAGGAGGGGGGAAAGAGAAATTAGGGGGGGAGAGAAATTAGGAGGGGGGGTGAGAAAGAGAAATTGGGAGGAGGAGAAGGAAATTGGAGCGGGAGGAGAGATTTACATTCATCACATACACACAATGCACCCCTTGCACACAGAAAAACACACAATGCATTACACACACAGACACACATACACAAGCAATGCAACCGTTACACACAATGCATCCCTTACACACACAGAAACACACAATGCATTCATTACATACACTCAATGCACCCCTTACACACATTCAATGCATCCCATACATACACAGAAACACACCTTGCAGCCCTTACACATACAAACACAATTTCACACAATGCATTCCTTACACACATATCAGGACATCCCCTACACACTCCACCACCTGTGAACAAACTCATTGGTGGAACATGAAGGTGGACCCTGGGACCCAGACATTGAGCTGTGTAAAGGACCCCCAAAAAATGGAGCTGCTTCCCGTTCTCCCAGAACATTGATTTTTGTGACCACAGTTACAAACCGCCTCCAGAGAGCCTGTTCTGCACCAGACCAGTGGAGCCAGACTGCAGCTAGAGCCCATCATCATCATCCTCATCTGGTTGTAAGTAGGCAATCTAGTATATTATTCGTGGCACTAAGCTCTAATTTACCTCACATTAAAGAAACACTATAGTCCCCAGAACCACTTCAGCTTAATGTAGTGGTTCTGGTGTCTATAGCCTGTCTCTGCAGGCCTTTTAATGTAAACATGGCGGTACTGCAGCACTGGCGTTAGTTAACATGGCAAATCATATGGGTGGGGCATTGTGATGTCACATGGGGGGGCGGCAAACTTTACTTTTGCCTAGGGCGGCAAAAATCCTTGCACCGGCCCTGGCTGGAGGGGGCTGCACAGTGTCCCATGGTAGTAAGGGTGCCGTGCGGCCAGTACAGCTCACACAAGCAAACAGCTGATAAACTGGCCACATGGAGGAAATGTGTATGTGTGACTGTCTGCCTGTTACTGTGTGTGACTGTCTGCCTGTAACTGAGTGTGTGACTGTCTGTCTGTAACTGAGTGTGTGACTGCCTGTAAATGTGTGTGTGGGGCTGCAGGGATTTTGTAGAAGGGGGCGGGGGTTTTGTATTGGGACAGGAGTCTTTATAAGGGGGGATAAGCAGGGGATTTGTGGAAGGGGGTTGCGGGGGTTTTGTAGACGGGGCAGTACATGATTTGTAGAAGGGGCAGTACAGGATTTGTAGAAGGGGCAAGACAGAGGTTTTGTAGGAGGGGCGGGGCAGGACAAGGGTTTTGTAGGAGGGGCTGACAGCGGTTTTTTACAAAGTTTACAAATTGTAAAAAAAAGAAAGAAAACCTTTAACATTTTTTACAGGTTTTTTTTTTTTTGGGTAGGGGGGGGGTGCCAAGCACAGGATCCGCCCTGGGTGCCAAATGCTCTAGGTACGCCCCTGACTGAGGGACTGGCAGGAGTGAGCGTTTTGCGCTTCCCTCCTGCCGATCCCTCTTTTCTTGTGCGCCCGGGCAGGTGCACCCTAATGGACGTGCCAGTGTGGGCAGAGCTGCAGCCACCTAGGGCTCTCTATAGAGCGTTCAGGCGGCTGCAGCATGAGGGGCTGATGCTCCTGCCTAAGTAGCCTATAGGAAGCGCCGGCCCTGATTATGTGAGCTATTTAACCCCTTATTGACCAGACCGTTTTTCAATTTTCTTACCGTTTGGGAAAAGGGCTGTTTTTACATTTCTGCGGTGTTTGTGTTTAGCTGTTATTTTTCTCTTACTCATTTACTGTACCCACACATATTATATACCGTTTTTCTCGCCATTAAATGGTATTTCTAAAGATACCATTATTTTCATCATATCATATAATTTACTATACAAAATTCAAAAAAAGTCATGATGAAAAAATGTAAACAAAAGACACTTTTTTGAACTTTGACCCCCAAAATCTGTTACACATCTACAACCGCCAAAAAACATCCGTGCTAAATAGTTTCTTCATTTTGTCCTGAGTTTAGAAATGCCCAATGTTAACATTTTGTAAGCTTTTTTGGAAAGTTATAGGGCTATAAGTACAAGTAGCACTTTGATATCCAAACCAACTTTTTTTTTTCAAAATTAACTTAAGTTGCATTGTAACACTGATATATGTCACGAATCCCTGAATAACCCTTCACATGTATATATTTTTAAAAGAAGACAACCTAAGGTATTAAACTTGGGGTATTTTGACTCTTTTCATGCAACCATTTTACCACCAATCTATGCCAAATAAAAAAAATAAACAAATAATTGGTGATTTTTTTTGACACACATAGTAATTTAAGACTACATTTACTGAGAACTTTAAGGGTTACTGCCAAAGAACACCAATATGTGTTCAGTAACATCTCCCAAGTACAGTGATACCACCAATGTATAGGTGTGTCAGGTTCTCTGGGGGCTAAAAGACCTTATTTGGAGTTTTCCCAACTAGGAATTTTCACAGCTGGTCATCATGCTTTCATGTCCTATTTGGGACATTTTTGAAGCTGGCCAATGTCATTTACCCCCATCAAACCATATATTTTTGAAAAGTAGACACCCTAGGGTATTTCAAATGGTGGTATTTTAACACTTTCCATCCAGTCTTTGTCAAACTTTTGGGTAGTCATTTTCTCTGTTATTTCTCTCTCACATTGTATTTTAGGCATGAATTCTCAGTTCCTGTTATGTGTTACTGAAAAAGAACACCCCAATATGTGTTCAGCAACATCTCATGAGTACATGCCCCCAATCAGGGCCGCCACCAGAAATTTTGGGGCCCCTAACTCAGCTCAGGGTCTGGGCCCCCTGGGGTCCGCCTCCAAATACCGCCCACTGTGTCCGCCTCCAACTACCGCCCACAGGAATACACACACAGACACAAGCACACACACTGATACAAAAAGACAGAG